ACATTAAATAGCATCTTTAATATCGATGAAATTGATGCTGAATTAGATAAAACAATTGAAAATCTTGCTTTATCATGAAGTGAGTTTCAAGAAAAAGATAGTGGATGGGCAATTCAAAAATTTACATATTTCGAAATGGTAGTTACGAAATTGGAGCACATTCGAGCTTCATCGTACTGCCCGCTGCCATCCAATATCAGAACCAAAGGAGCAATAACAAATGTTATGAATAATGATGCATATTGCTTTAAATGGACCGTTTTAGCGGCAATAAGGTTTCGCAAATATCCTGAAGAGCCTCTGAATTTGTTAACAGCTACAAAAACATATAGGATAAACGACATATCATCAAACAAAATAACATATGAACGGGAGACATTGGATTTTACTGGAATGACTTTTCCTGTTGATAGAACAGATATAGCTCGTTTTGAAACATTGAATCGCAAATTCAGAGTTTTAATATCTTTGTTTTGGAAAAACGCTCTGATGGAAGTTCGAAGGTCGTTGGACCATCCTATCATACGAAGCAGAAAAAAGAAATTCATATAAGCATGCTGGCATTTTATAATGAAGAAAAGCATCAGTACCATTATGCACTGATAAGGGACACAAAAAGACTCCTAAAGGCACAGTTTACAGCGAGTCATGTATCAGGTGGTACTTTTTGCGAGTCATGCCTTCATTATTATACCCAAGGCCATAAAACTCATAATGAAAAAGAGTGTGGTAAAGTAAGAGCTAGCTATCCTGCTCCAGGATCGTCAATTAAGTTTGAGAATTGGCGTAAAAAACTATCTCCACCTGTCACCATCTATGCGGATATTGAGGCTGTTTTGGAGAGATATAGCACATTTTTAAACTCGCCCAACGTATCGTACACTACAAAGGCCCAGAAGCATACTGCCTGTGTGGTTTCGTTCAATGTAGTCCATAAATATAGACCTGAACTAAATGAAACATGGCAATATGAAGGTAATTTATTTCACCATTTATCCTATAAACAAGTTTCGAAAAATATGAAACCTTTTAAATTTTCAGGAAAGGATTGTATGGATATGTTTTGTCTAGCCTTACAAGCTACAACAGACAGACTTTATGACCTATACTGGGCAAAACCTGCTAAGCCATTGGAGGAACTCGACATCGCAGATGCAATCCTACAGGAATACGAAAAATGCTGCGCCTGTGAAAAGGACATTCCTGATGGTGATCGACAAAGGCTTATAATTATTTTAATGGCGAGTATATGGGGCCTATACATAGCAAATGTAAAAATGAGTACAAGTTTAAGTTTCCAGCTTTCCCTGTAGTTTTTCATAATTTATCTAGGTATGACATTCATTTATTTATATGCCAGCTAGGTAAAAACTTAACTGCAATTCCATGCAATAAGGTTGTATATAACAGTACTAAACAAGAAAGGAATGCTAAAGTCGAGCAGGCTCAACTCTTAAATACCCTGTACCACCCCACAAAAAATAATTAAATTAATTAATTAATTAAATTTAATTAATTAACTAAATTAATTTAATTAATTAACTAAATTAAATATAAAATATTCCATGCATGCATACATACATTTACATTTGCATCAGAATCGTGCCTTATGCGTGTTTGTGTACTTGTACATATGTATGTATGTGTGCATTGGGCCTGGTTATATGGCTATAACTTTCTTTCCGATTATTCTATCATAATGAGACTTGGTATACGGTTATATAATAACTAACCTAATGTGACTACCAAATTTTTAGTTCAAAATTCCAAGAATTACGGGAGTTATAGAAAATCGTTAATAGTGGGGGAGTGGGGGGGTGGATCAGAAAAATGAACAAACTCGTCCTTTCTCGGTCTCAGGAGAATCTGTATACCAAGTTTGGTTATTCTAGCTCTTATACTTTCGGAGATCCTTGCGTTCATACAGACAGACAGACGGACAGACGGACAGACAGACGGACAGACGGACATGGCTATATCGACTCGGCTTGTCATGCTGATCAAGAATATATATACTTTGTGGGGTCTACCAAGTATACAGGGTACAGGGTATAAAAAGTTGTAAAAGATAATAGATATTTGTATAATATAAACTTCATCGATTCTAATAGATTTTTAAACTCTAGCTTAGAAAATTTAGCAAGTTATATGGATAAGGATAATTTTCACTTATTAAAAAATCAGTTCCAGGGTCAAAAGTTTGACTTAATGTGTAGAAAAGGTATCTTTCCGTATGACTATTTGGATACATTTGAAAAATTGGATGATACTAGTTTACCAAGTAGAGAAAATTTTTATAACTCCTTAGCCGATGAGGAATGTTCAATAAAAGATTACAGCTTTGCTCATAAAGTTTGGAGCACATTTAAATGAAAATCATTAAAAGAATATCTTCTTCTGTATTAATTATGCAACAGCACCCTCACTTTCTTGGGATGCTATATTAAAAATTACTAAAGTAAATTTAGAGCAAATCAGTGATCCTAATATATACAATTTCTTAAAAGTTGCTATCCGAGGTGGTTTAACACAATGTACCAAAGGCTAGTAACTGCTAATAAGAATATTTAAAAAAATTTAATCCAGCACAGGATAAGGTTTTTTGGCATATATTGATGCTAACAATTTATATGGTTGGGCTATGTCCCAAGAACTTCCTATTTCCGACTTTCGCTTCTTAAGTACCTATGAAATAGGATTATTAAATATTTCAAATCTTTCCGATAAAGAAGCCAACGGTTATATACTTGAAGTGGACTTAGAATATCCCAAAAAAGTTCATGATAAACATAATAGCTTACCATTCTGTCCAGAAAATAAGATACCCCCTGGTGGGAACATAAAAAATTATTAGCAGACTTAACTAATAAAAAAAAATTATATTATTCATATTAAGCAACTTCAGTTGTGTCTCCAGAATGGTCTTGAATTAACAAAAATTCATAGAGTACTCACTTTTAAACAAAGCCCTTGGCTAAAGCCGTATATTGACCTGAATACAGAGCATAGGAAAAAATGCGAAAAACGACTTTGAAAGAATTTTTTTAAATTAATGAACAATGCCGTTTATGGTAAAACCATGGAAAATGTCGAGAAAACGTCGAGATGTTAGACTAGTGAGTAGATATGAATCAGCTCAAAACTCTGGGGGTTACAGACAACTTGTAGCTATGCCGAATTGCCATAGCATTGAAATATTTAATAATGATTTAGCAGCAGTAGAACTTTCTCAACTAGAAATAGTATATGATAAGCCGATTTATATAGGATTCACAGTTTTAGAACTTTCAAAATGGTTGATGTATGAATTTTATTACGAATTTCTTACTACCGTATCAGACACAATTAAAATAGTATACATGGATACCGACTCTTTTATTACATCTTCAACCGTTGACATATATGAATTAATTAAACAATATCCTGAAAGATTCGATACATCAAACTATAATGAAAGAAATAGATTCGGAATATTACCTGCTAATAACAAGGAACTAGGTTTAATGAAGGATGAAAATGCTGGGAATATAATGAAGTCCTTCGCGGGTTTGAAAGCAAAAGCTTATTCATATATCGTTGAAACAACAAAAGAAATTGATAGTGAAATTAAAAAAGTAAAAGGTGTTAAGAGATCTGTTGTAACAAAATTAAATCATTCCGATTATATTGAATGTATCCGAAAAAGGAAAATATTTTTGGGACAGCAAAGGGTGATAAGAAGCAGGGCACATACTCTTTATACTGAAATTGTAAATAAAGTAAGTCTTAATTATAAAGATGATAAGAGGTATATTACTGAAGATAGAATTAATACTTTAGCGTGGAGTCATTATAAAATTGACTTGAATCCAAAATAACGAAAATTCTCAATTGTATTTTATATTTAAAACATAGCATTTTATATATTTATAAGCACCAATGAACTGTATATGTATTGTATATGTAAATAAACTTGTATTTAAACAAATAAATAAATTATTGAAAAGCAATTGTCTTTGTTAATCAATTTTTTTATTAATGCTCTTATTATTTATTTATTTATTTATTTATTTATTGTTAATTACTTCCTAGCGCAACAAGTAGAGTTACTTATATGTTATAGCACTAGTCACATAAAGAGTTTTACATATGTACTATACTAGTTAGTTTATAATGAGATTATATTAAAATTTGAGACAGAGAATTAAAATAAGTTTAATAAAATTTATATTTTTCTTAAAACTAAATTACATTGTAAAATGATTGTATATGTCATGCTTGTTATCGTGACAGTTTATTAATGCTAATTTTGAAGATATTTTTTTAGATTACTTCGAAATTGAGTAGCGTTTCTGATGTTTTTTATGTGTGTTGGTAGTCCATTCCAAATGCGAACAGCATATATGAAAAATTGTCTGTCGGATAAAAGAAGCCTGTGGCGCTGACATACTAAGTTATGAGTTCTTAGAGATGTGGAAAATTTAATTCTTTGATACAGGTATGCTGGTTCCTTAGTATTTATCAATTTTTGTAGACATAATAAAACTCGAAAGTTTATCCAAGACATGATACTTAAGTTCAAAAGTTGGTATGCATAGCTGGTGACATGATCAGAGCGTCTTAGACCGAAAACATAACGAGCGACACTATTGTAAGCGACTTTTAGTTTTCGGAATGAAATTGCGTCACAATTTGCATATACCTCAACACCATAAGATAGCATTGGAAGTATGAATGTTTTCGCTATCATCATTCGCAGATTTACAGGTAGGAATTGCTGAGTCAAGTTCAGAAGTCTTAACGCACCATAAACCTTACTGTTAGGTATTCGATACCTTGTTAAGTATTATTGTAAAAGTGTCACCTGGTCACATTGATCTTGTGCCCTTTAGCTACACATTTTGAATTGTAACACATTCTGGAAATATACGCGGCCTGATACACAACAGAATTGGCGACGAGGAAAATAAAAGTTAGGAAAATAAAGGTTAAGAAAATAAAAGTTAAAGAAGAACAAATAAATGACCAGCATGACTACAGCAGCACCTATAACTCCACAATTTTATCACATGATAAGCATACCCGAGTTTGTGCCAAACAGTGAAACGTTTGCAATTTGGAAAGAAAAATTTGAAATACACATGTGCGAGCAAAGTGTGAGTGAAGAAAATGCAAAAAAATCAACGTTGTTGAAATCAATTGGAACAGGCCCGTATGGTGTATTACACAGTTTATGCAGTCCAGATTCACCTGTATCAAAGTCATACAAGGAAATTTGCGAAATACTTTCAACGCACTACACACCACCTACACTTGTTTTTCGAGAACGAAAAAAGTTTCATATGGCAGTCAAAGGCGAAAATGAGACAATTGCAGAATGGTATGCCCGTTTAAAACAGTTGGCATGTAGCTGTAAATTTGGTGTCTATTTGGAAGCATTCGTACTTAACCAATTTGTGATGAGTCTTCCTAATGCAATATTTGAACGCATGTGCGAAGAAGATGAACGTCTATCTCTTTCTGACGCACTAAGAAAGGCAATGATAATGGAGACCAAAGATTTTGCAAAGAGGACAGGAGAGAACATCAGTTACGTGAACAGAAGCAGCGCAAATCAAAGAAAAAAGCGAAACTGCAACAATAGAAACAACGGCAGTTATGACACTGGAAGTTTCAAGGGCAACGGAAGATCACATGGGATGAACTTCAAAAGCAGTAGCAGCGACGGTAGTGACGGCGACGCAGGCAGAGGCAAAAAGCAGCAGAAATTCTGTGTGCACTGTGGTTGGAAAAATCATCGATCTGAAGAGTGCAAGTACAAACATCTAAATTGTCACACTTGTGGGAAGAAGGGTCATTTGGCGAGCGTATGTAATTCAAAACGAATAAATTGCGTATCGAATTTACAATCTGAAGATCCTATGTTAGATACTAAGCTAAATGAATTTAATTTTTCTGTATTTAGCGTGGCACCAACTTCTTCTGGTGAGGTTTACGTGTTACCGGTTACAATTGATGGTTGTAACATGAACGTCACTTGCGATACTGGAGCATCTTGTACAATTATTCCATATTCAGTTTATGAGAAGGCAGTGATGAAGAAGCCGCTCAGAGAATGTAATGTTCCGTACATGGACTACAATGGTCGTCTTATTGAAATTGTCGGTGAGTACGATGCAACAATTGAATATCGAGGCATAAGAAAAGAAATGGTTATAGTAGTTGCGAAAACAATGAGTCCAGCTTTACTTGGTAGAACATTTTTGAGATCGTTTAATTTTGAATTAGTTCAAGTTAACAATGTTAGCGAAAGTGAACAACTCTCTGTACTTACAAAACAAATAAAAAGTGAATTTGCAGATGTGTTTAGACCCGAATTAGGTTCTTTTAATGGGAGCAAAATTATGTTACAAATAGCGGAAAACACCAAGCCAATATTTTTCAAGCCTAGGCCGCTACCATTAGCATGGAAAGACCGCGTTGAACAAAAATTACGCGCTTTGATTGAGTTAGGAGTTTTAGAACAAGTTGATAGTTCTGATTGGGGAACCCCATTGGTTCCGATTCTTAAGCCAGATGGTGATATAAGAATTTGTGGAGACTACAAAGTTTCCGTAAATAGATCATTAGTCGATGTACGATATCCGTTACCACGAATTGATGATATTTTTGCAGCACTTCAAGGAGGCGTATTATACACTAAACTTGATTTAAGCAATGCTTATAACCAGTTGCACCTAGATGAGCAATCTCAGTTGTTGTGCACATGGAGCACACATATTGGACTTTTAAAAGTCAAACGATTACCTTTTGGTATAAAAACAGCAGCAGCAATATTCCAAAAGACAATGGAATGTTTATTCCAAGGAATAAAAGGAGTCGTAGTTTATCAGGACGACATTACAGTAACAGGAAGCAATCTTCAAGAACACATTTCAAATTTAAAAACAGTTCTTAGCAAGCTGAATCAGCCGGACTAACTTTAAATGCAAACAAATGTGAATTTTTTCAAATCTAAAATTCGTTACTTAGGGTTCTCAATAGACAGGTACGGATTAAGCAAAAATGTTGATAGAGTTCCAGCGTTTTACTAGCACCCACACCTAAAAATGTATCTGAATTACGAGCATTCATTGGAATGGTGAATTATTATTCAAAGTTTGTTAAAAACTTCGCACAGATAATGAGTCCATTATATGTACTTTTGCAGAAAGATTCAAAATTTGTTTGGACAGTTGAATGTAACAAAGCATATGAGAGAATTAAAAGTGAGATAACTTCAGAACAAGTCTTAGTGCATTATGACGCAAACTTGCCTATTGTCTTAACGACTGATGCCAGTAGTAATGCCGTATCTGGCGTACTAGCACATAGATTTGCTGATGGTCTTAAACCGATAGCATTTGTTTCCAGAGCCTTATCAAAAAGTGAAATTAATTATAGCACACTGGATAAGGAAGCTCTCGCGATTGTATATAGTGTAATGAAGTTGAAACAATACCTTCTAGGGATCAAGTTCATCTTGAGAACTGATCATAAGCCCCTCTTGGGAATATTTGGAGATAAAAAAGGATTGCCACTTATGGCGTCTGCACGTTTGCAGAGGTGGGCTTTAATATTGTCAGGATTTCAGTACACAGTTGAACACATAAAGGGTTCATTAAACGAGGCTGACGGACTTTCAAGGATGCCTCAGTTATACAAATCAAACGAAGATGAGGAATACAATTATATTAACTTCATTCAATCTGATATACCGTTTAAACAACAGCCTTATTTATATGATTGTTCCATGTCAAGCTTCTGTTGAAGCAGAAGCCTAAGTTATTAGCTTGATCGACATATTCAATCGGAGTGTCTCCAATCACAAGGGAGTTGAAGTTTGAAGTGTTTAGTTGGTTTTTATAGATTACTAGGCATTTAGATTTAGTGGGATTGAGTTTTAACCCATTGTTTTTAGCCCAGTCAGAGATTTTACCTAGTTCACCATTACTAACACTTATACACTCATTTAATTTAGTAACAGGACGACTAACATACATTTGAACATCATCAGCATACAGGTGGACTTTACTGTTAGACAAGACATAAGGGAGGTCATTCACGTACAAGGTGAACAATAGTGGACCAAGAACAGATCCCTGTGGAACACCGCGACTAACAGGTAACAACGAAGAATGATCAGACGATATTACAACAGCTTGACGCCTATTGGACAAATAAGAATGTATAAAAGTTGTTGCCGTTTTTGAGAAGTAATACATTCTATTAAGTTTAGTGCACATTATTTCATGATTAACACAATCAAATGCCTTACTGAAGTCGAGTAAGCTTAAAAAAGTAACACAGCCAGTATCCATTTGACTGCGAATATCTTCAACCACATTTAGGACAGCTGTGGTACAACTTCTGTGCTTTCTGAAACCAGATTGGTCATCGCATAAGAGAAGGTTTTTGTTTAGAAAGTCACTAATCTGGTTTGCTATTAGATTCTCGAAAACTTTTGAGAGATAAGGAAGAATAGCAATAGGACGGTATTCATTGTTAGTCTTAGAAATAGGACAGATTTTTGACATTTTCCACTTATCAGGAAAGCAGGAAGTCATAACTGATGTGTTAAAAATGTGTGTAATATGCGCATTGCTAAATTGTGAAGTATGATAAGCTCGTTTGGCAGCATTTATCAAGCAAGATGCTTGCTTTCTGAGGTATTTGAACTTAGAATAGTGATATTCAGATTTATATCTTTTCCACTTTTCATATGCATCATTACGTTTTTTAATGGCAAGTCTAATTGTGTCATTAAACCAAGGTTCTTGTGTGGGTCTAACGATTTTCGTTCGTAGTGGTACGAATTTGTGGTAGAGGTAGCTTATTTTGTGTTCGAATTGTTGCAGTTGAGAATCGACCGTGGGTAACCGGTAAATATCGTCCCAATCAAGTAAAGAAAATTCGTCATTTAGCTGTGCAATGTCAATATTCTTAAAATCTCTATAATCTTTTTATCAATAAAAGTGTCAAGTGTCAAGAAGATAAGGTCATGTTCAGAGAACACAGGTACAGAAAGTTGGTCGTATAGTAAGATTTTCTTTAAATTATTAATAAAAAAAAGGTCAAGTAATGTGTTAGAGGTTTGTGAGAAATGTGTTGGTTGTGTTGCATTAACAATTTTCATGCCTAATGCCTCCATATCATCAACTAGACGAGCGTCACACAGAGCATTGGAATTGAAATCACCCGTTAGAATTACGTCTTCATAGTTCATTGAGATGTCAGAAAATATACTGATCAGATCAGTGTAGTTTGTGTTGCGGTGAGGTCGATAAATGCAGCCAATTAAGATGTTTCGGCAGTTTTTTAGGTGATATAGTGAGATAAAAAGGTATTCAATTGCACACCCCTCAGGTTGTTTGCATATAATTCTGGCTTTGATTTTCTTACTTACATATATTGCAACTCCGCCCGCATGGCCTGCACGATCAGATCGGAAAACATTAAATCCATCACAATTAATCAACGAACTACACATGTCAGACATAAACCTAGTTTCAGACACACATATAACATCAACCTTGGAATTTACAAACATATTCCTAAATTCTTCTATCTTGTTCGTTAGGCTTTGCGCATTGATATGACAAATATGTAAGCCTGGCTTTCGGTTGCAAAGAACTTTTAGCATTGTATGGCTGCTCGCATTTAAACTACTATTACGAATTTGCATATTTAAGTATTTGAAGTCGTTTCAGAAACGCACTCGAAGTATACGATGTAAAATATAAATAGAAAGAATAGATTAATTTAAAACAAGCATGACAGTTACTACTACAAATAACAATGTTAAAATTAAAGCATACCAGAAGTTTCTTAAGTGCGAAAGTTACTATTGCTAAGGTGTTCCCCTAAAGCTCCAACGCCGTCCGTCTCAGCCGATGGCACGGCAAGGGGGGTTAAAGCTTTTATGCAGTTATTCTGCAGTGCCAAGAGCGTTTGCATGCCATCAACACGAACAACTGTATCGCAAGTAGGAGTTTTAACATGCACTAATGCGCGGCGAGTAAATACTGATAAGAGCAACTTCTGTTTCTTCATTTTCATTGCCTCTTTAAAAATATCATAATTTCGGTTGCTTAGTTGCTCATTTATGTAAATTGGGGTTGGCGAGTCAAAACCTAGGAGCAGCAAGTTTAGTTGTTGTTGAGTTTCTCGCCGGTATGTGCCAATTGCCCGCAAAAGTGAAGTTTTATCGCGCATGTGTTCGAGTCTAATTATTATCACCGGATCAACAATGGAATTATTGGTCCTGCTTTGCTTGACCCGATAGATTTCTTTCAACTTGGGTGCCGGAGTTACTCCTAAGGCGAAGCAGAGAGAGTTGAAAATCGCCTTAAGATTTTCATTTTCTACATACGGGACACCGTGGAAACGCAAGTTATTTGCTATATCTGCGTTTTCCTGCTTAGAAAGCTGATATTCTAATCTGGATTTCAGGTCACCCACCTGTACACGCAAGTCGCAAGCGGCATTGGCGGCATCGAGCTGCGCAGCGAGCTTCGTCTCAAGCACACCCACCCGCTCCCTCAACAAGGACAGCTCTTCAACCTCGCGTTCAATGTTATTCACACGCTCATGTAGCTGCTTCAGTTCATCAGCCATGCGATCGAACCGCTCCAGCACCACGTTGAGGATGCGCTGCTCAGTATCTCCCATATGAGTGGTGAAGAGGCTGGCCTGCTCTTCAAAACGCAAATTCATCATTGCCATTATCTTCGATGAAACAGCTTCCGACTGGCGGCCCTCCTTAAGGTCAGTGCTGGTGTTTTCACGTGCACGTTTGTTGGGTTGCGGTGCCATGTTGTTTAGTGTAGTTCGAAATTCGATTTCTCGGTTTGTATTTTATTGAGTGATTCGTTGAACGCTGATGCGAGAGTATTTGTGAGAGTATGACTCAGTGTTTCAGTGTTGGTATTGTTCTATTTGTATGTAAAATTTTGCGCGCTTGAAAAATGCTTTCGTGCGAATATTCTTATTATTGTTATTATTATTAATGCCTTTAATTAAATTTTACACGAACAGTTTCAAGTTTCACTGTAACTTCACTAAGGGCGTAAAATGTCCCATAGAACTTAACAAATTAAAGATTTGATCGGAGCGATAAAAAACACGTCTGTTTGCAAGCAAGATTAGTGCTTCGATTACAATATATTTTTCTTAGCGATCCATGAATTATGGCTTTCATCGAAACCTTTTTTTTTTACCAATACCTTATTACCTTTAGTTGTCAAAATTTTCTCAACGAGATAAGCATTCTTATCTTTAACCTTTTGAAGTTCATACTCATAAAATGAACCCTCAATCAATTCCTTGTTATAGTCTTGTAAAGTATTCGTCACTGGAGAAGTTGACTTAACTTTTTTTACTGTAAATATTTCGGTGGTCCAGTTTGGTTCATAACCTTTTTCGAAATACCCTTTGTATTTACTTATTCGAACCGAATCTCCTACTGAATACTTGTGCGACGGAAATACTTTAGGATAATTGTACACAGTATTTAAAATAAATTCTTCATTTTGCTTTCCAACAGAAGTGGGTTTCATTTTAATGGTCCTATGATATGTGTTGTTATACTTTGATACTAAATCTTATATTCGATCTATCCATCTATTGTTTCCTTGCATACTAAACATTCTCCACATTAGATTTTTAAGGGTTCTGTTAAAACGCTCACAGATCGAAGCTTTTAAATGTGTGAAGGTATGGTAATGATTGATTCTTTTCTGATTCATTAAAAGCTTAAAGCTTCTATTAAAAAACTCTTTGCCTTGATCTGATTGAATATTTTTAGGAATCACATCTGATCTCAAAAAAAACATTTGTAACTGCTGATACGATGTCCTCAGCAGTTTTATTTTTAACTGGTT